TTATGGACTTTTAATATGAGTGGGAAAGGTTCAGATACTATATTTCAGCCCATACTTCTTGCCGCACACCAAGGTCTGTATTCCAATCATAGTGATTGATTGGATTTCATATAAAAACGGGCAATTAGATGTTGTACCCGTTGAACCAACCCACATATATTCAATGGCAGCACGAAACCTTTTTCAGGGTATTTGGATGGTCAGTCCTCCTTACACTTCAATCTCACTTAACGTCTTTTCTTATCGGCCACAGGTGAACTCATCTGGGTCGTGGAAAGCTGCGCGGATAAGAGTGGTTTGAAGTTTAAATGTCTCAAAAAGCGGTTCAGATCTGGCTTCAAGAATGAATGCAAGCTGGCTAACTCAGCCAAAAACTTGGCATACAGAAAATGTACTAGACATATGTTCCACATTTTTACTTAACAGTTGGACTAGCAAGTTTGCTTACCAAACAATCTGGTAGTATTAGTAGTGGATAAAATATCATGTTTTATGACATGTATAGATCACTATAGGTGTTACAATTAACATACCAGCACCTTTTTGTACTTTACTTTTATTTTCCAAGTCACATGACCAGTCATGTGACACAACACCTGACCAGTGTCTAGACTCATCATGTGACTGGTCACATGCCAGACATCGGACTTTAAACTTTATTTACAACTGTACAGTACCTCATGTATTTTAGTATATATACAGGAGCAATACATGGGCAGGGACTCAGCGAGTCCTCCTGTTGTCTAGCACAACAAACCCGTTGAAACCTAAGGGGTGATCCCTCTCTCTCTCTTTCTTTGCTTGTCCAAGTTGTGCGCCAGAGTAAGAAACTCTTGGTCATTACAATAGGTCACTATAAATTAATATAAATCAATATAATGCACATTTTGCTATAGTTGCTATAATTGGTAAAAATTCCAATTATATCCAACTATAGCAAAATCATGTTTTCCTGATGCAGGCTTTCTAAACCATCACTACCATTTCATATCGCAGATCAGAGACTGGGTAATACTCCCAGCCAGCCAGCACAATGGGTAAAGACTGGTAGTAGAGATTTTACTAACCAGCTCCAAGCCGCATCAGTGCCTGGATATATTAATAGATGCTTTAGTCAGGATCATACCTCATCATGAGGATACGGTTCCTGAACATGCATGACAATACCTATTATTAGTATATTTTCCCACTTGCTGATTAATCCTTGAAATCATAAGATAGTTGTTCTTTTTCTTATTGGTTGATTTCATCCTCAGACCACCTTTTTATCATTCCTCTTTTGGTCTGAGAGATAGACAAATAGCTATAGAAACCCTACATACTCATGTATAGTTCTTTAGTTTTTTATTACTTGAATAACCCACTTAACTCCTCATCAAAACCCTTGAGTTTACTCTCAGTCCTTTACCTTTACTTGCCATAACTCTAGCATCTATCGACTTTAGAACTCATTGTACCTCTTACTCCCTGCAAGTGCAGTCGGAGACAGGTGTTGTTTTTGTTATAGTTTAAATGTTGCCTCACAGGCTTCAGCTTGCTGCTGCTGGTTGGAATGTACCAAGTTTCCAGCACGGGGAATTGCAGAATACAGCTGGTAACATTGCTGGGATGAAGGGGACAATGTGGACCAGTAGATTGGCTGAACATGATGGCCTTCCAAAGGCAGGGCATTGCCAACAAAACCAGACAATGCAGGCAGTTGGTATGGTGGACACGCAGGGGGGTCAGAAGGGTCCTGTGCAAAAGAAGCTGGAATCAAAGGACATGAATAAAGATCATGCACAGATAGAGCTGGAATGGAGGGATGAGGATAACTAGCCAAATGAGCCTGCAAAAAAGGGGCTGGAATGGAGGGATAAGGATAACCAGCTAAATGAGCCTGCACAGAAGGGGCTGGAATTGATAGATGGGGGGTTGTGGGATCACAATCATTGCCTTTGTTGTCTTCTTCATCCTCATGCAGATCCCCATCATTGTACCAATCCTCAAAATTCTCAGGGCAATCCAAAATCACAGTTGTATGGCAGATGCATAGGTGGGAGATCCTCCATAGGAATGCCATGACCCATACTACCCATAGATAAAAACAAACCACCATGAGCCAGCGCATAAACCTCCACCTGTTGAATTTCTTCAGAAATGCTCTCAAAATTAATAGCATTCCTGTTCTGGAGAGCCTGAAAGGCCTCTATGTCCTCTTTCTCTATGCCTAGCCCACATATGTTGAGATGTCTTTCAAGGTGCCCAACCCTGCATCAGCAACAGATAACAACATCTCATTTTTACCCTGAATGTCAGTCAAAAGATTGACTGCACATTTTTTCTCCTTGATCTTCCAAGCTATAGCCAGAATGTCATGATGGATTCTTTTATGGCTGGCGTACTTGAGAGAAGTAGCCTGCTTAATTGCGCTGTCTGACAAAGTGGCAAGACCTGCCTGTAAAAGTAAAATCATCATCAAGAATTGAACTAGATTAGATTAGCACAAAGACACATACTTGTTTCACTGCATGAGGGGGCAGCAAAGAACACGAGCCACACTCAAGTCTTCTGATTGTAATTTCATGCTCAAGTGCAACCTAGTAATTTTTTCTGTTTTAAGCACATAGTACACACAAGGCTCTAGGAGGAGAAGAGCTAGATAATGGGTGCAGCTACTCCCAACTTTGTCCTTGCTATTTGATCAATGATTGACTTCATCTATGCAGCAAAACATCCTGTCTAAACACCCAGTTCTATCAAGAAAAAAGTCCAATTCCTTGAACAGTTTCATCGGCATAACAGTGCTATATTAGAGGCGGAAGCTAGGAGAGGTAAAAATAGCACAATAGAGAATTTCCGGATCCCCAAGCTTGAGCTCATGCTGCACTTTGCCTGGTCAATCAAGAACAATGGTACTATCCCTCAATATATGGAGATGTCATAAATTGCCTACTTATCATGAATTGCAAGTATACGTTCCAGCAAACTAACCATGGAAAGAACTTCCTTACTCAGGTTGTGAAGATTCTGGACCACACAGTGAAGCATCAAATATTTGACCTGTATACGTATACTCTCCTCTGGTTGAGTGGCAACAGTTTCATAAACAAGGCCATTGCTTCAGAGGACTATAAATGTACACTATCACTAACAGACTACGAAGTTGTGGACACTGATCCTCACTTTGTGTGGATATTATCCATATTGCCCCAAAAAAGTCAATTCACCAGCTCTCGTTCTGTCCGCAATCAATTTATCAAGGGCATCCTTTCTGATGGCTCATTCACAGCTTTCCATATCACTGTTGCGCCTAACATAAAAAGTTTGTCACTCCAGGACGTTAGTGCTCTGTATGGACTGCCAGATCTTGCACACACCTTTCTTCAATATTCATCTCACTACCCCAGATTTTCAGGCCCTCCCCCGTTTCAAAATATACAACTGTGGTTCAAATTCCAAATACAGCTACACTCGGTGTCAATGATGAGAATTGTTGTTAGAAAACCACACACAAAAACAAACTAACAAACAATCTTCCCAGATTCCACGGAACTTGTTTATGGGCTTTGCCTCCTAGAACAGTGGGTGCTCTGGTTGTTTGTGGGGTGGTATGTATGATGATCCTTCAAAGTCAAACCCAAGGATGTTGCATGTTAAAGAGGGTAAACCTTTTTGTTTTATCCTGTATGCAGATAAAACAAAACTGTCATCATTTGGGACAGAAAAAGGCTATCCAGTGATAGCCCATTGTGGGAATCTTCCTGTGCATATAAAAAATGGAGAAGGCATTGGTGGAGGCTGAGTAGTAGGTTGGCTTCCAGTCGTGCATAATTCTAAAACTTATTACAAAAACACTGACATATATATATTATTTGATGAAGATTGCTGAGGACCAACACAAAAAGTGAAGCCGGCCTACGTGAAATTCAAGCGAGTGGTCTGGCACAAGGCTTTTTATGTGCTCCTTGAGTCAATTTCTAAGATTTCAAAAACTGGCTTTTGGTTCCAGTGTGCTGACGGTATTCTCCGCTTTCTGTTTCCTGTAATTTTGATTTTATCAGCTGACTACAAGGAGCAATAGGCTCAACATCTCTTATCAATATTACTATTTCTGTCGCTGATTACTATTTACAGATCTGTCATGTCATTCATCTGATGTAACAACCAAGAGTTTGTTACTCTGGCACACAACTAGAACCAACTATAAAGATAATGATGAGGGAGTGGTTACCCTTTAGGCTTCAACAAGTTAGTTGTGAGGATACAACAGGAGGACTTGCTGAGGAGTCTCCTTGATCTATTGGGGTATATATACTACTACAGGTTTGTTTGTACATATATACTATACAGTTGATGAAGGCAGTGGCTGATGATGTCAGAGGGTGCAGCCCATGTGACCAGCTCTACTGCATGAGAGACTTGTATCTAAAATAGAAAGAAAGGCAGTGCAGCGTGAGAAAGTGGAGTTTGAACAAAAGGGAGAATGCCGCATGGCACGGAGTGTGAAAACTACAGTAGAAGGTTAAAGAGGAGAATAAAAATTAAAGGTCCAAAAATGTGTTATCGTAACGTCCGAGGTGTAGGAAGCAAGTGTCCCTGCCCGGTATGTCTAGTCAGGTCTGATAAGCTCTTTGATCTATCATTCAAGTGACCACTTTGCACGGCTGAAGATACAAGACAAACACTTGATCAAGCCTCTCAAATGCCCCTTGCCAAACAATGAGAAGATTACCTGAAGACACTGGGGGTTTGAGATATACCAGTGAGTTGGCCCTTTATTGTCCTCACCCTGCTCACTTGCTATTACAGAATGTTTTTTGGAATGTTGAAAACAGTGATCCCCACTTGGCTTTGTCATTTGACCCCTTGCACTCATATTCAGCAGGCTTGTGGGGGGATCACCTGTGGGAAAAAGTAAAACAGAGTGTTAGCAAGTTTGGGAAGACATCTATAGATCTGGTGGATAAACAGTAAGTCTCTCATGCATCAACACGGTTGATTGGCTCATTTGACTCTTATTAGATTTCAGGAATTCCCCCGCTGGTGTGATATCAATCACTTTGATAAGGTCATGAACATATTGTTTAGTGATGGTTCAAAATTGGAGGATATTGCAAAGGTACATGTCTTCCTTCCGAGTACAATGATCTAATCACTTCATCAGCTTACAATATTTGGTACATATTCCCAAGAGGTCGCAACACAAGTCTGACTACCTCCTTTTGAGGTGTCTTTGTGTTACGCACAAAGTGCTTAACAAAGTCTGAGGGTTCGTCGAGGTTTCTAGGAGACTTATCCGAAGACAAGCTTTGAGAAAGTAGAGTTCTTCCAACAAGAGTTGGTCTTCTTCTGAGTAGAAGTCTGATCTTAGGAGCTCAGCTTTGTAAGCATAAACTGCGTAGAATTGTATTGGAGAATACTACTACTGTTACATGTGTATTTATACTGGAAAGAATTGGTGATAGGAGTTAGGTCCTATCTAGGGCAGGTCCGTCCGTTGAGGACTAAGTACTATAATAGGTAATGTGAATGCGAGAAGAACGGGAGTGTATGTGAAGGAAATGAGTCATCGGTCCGATGGTATAACCAATGAGTAAAGTAAAATGAGTAGTCCTTAAATGTCCAATAGAAATTGTAACACTTTGTAGTTACCTTTGGTTGTTGATGTATGTATTGTTGCAGGTCCATACAGAACAAACTATTAAGAAAGGGCGAGAAGAGCTACAGAAGTGGTTGTATTTAATCACAGTACATTGTCAAATCTGGTTGAGAAGCTTAGAAATATTGACCCTACATTTTGCAACATAAGTATTCTTGTGTCTCAGGCAAAAGCTGGAATTTTCCGAAGGCACACCTCCACGCCCATGTTTTTGATGACATTGAAGCTAAGGGTGTTACACAAAATTATAATACAAAACCTAACAAAAAGCTTCATGGTCCATTGAAGAAATCTTATACTCCCCAGAGCGACGGAAAACAAGTTGCGGATCAGGTATGTTTATATACTATAAGTCTGAATATTTGTCTATGGATTGAATTTGTTTTTCCTCGAAGATCATAAAAGCAGATCACTGGTGTTTAGTTTCAGCACTTATTTGAGATCAAATTAATCAAAAAGATGAAGTGGAAAAGCAACTTGAAGGCAATGAAAATAGCACATTGAACTCTTTGCCTGGAAGTACTATGGCTGATGATCATTTTATTCTTGGGTCCGCTCAACCTCCCGTTGTGTATGGTGTACTTGAGGACGATCAATAGCACAACCCTGCATTCAAGGATCTTTGTAAAAAACTAGTCAAATTCTTGAACAACTTGCTGCCCGCATATGACATCACGCTCCCTAATAACAAGTGTATCACACTACACCCAACTGACTCAGTAAGTTGCAATAACAAATGTACATGCAATCTACTCAATTTTAGTATCTACAGATAACTGAACACCATTTCTTGAAAGTTCACTATGAGTCTTTGGTTGACTGACGCCAGTGTACTGGCTACCTCTGATGTAGCCCGCAGTATCATGGTTGTGCACGTTATGATGGTGTCCTTATATGTACAATTGACCATGAAAAATTTGCACAGCTTATTTTTATGTTTACAGTCTCCCTTGATGGAGTCAAGTACCCTCTCGCTCTCATCCAGCCTTTGGATGCTCCCATCGGACCTCTTAGGCGAAAGGACCAAGACTTGGGCCTGATCCGACTCTGTCCCAAAAGGAGGTCAGAGCCTGAAATCATTAGTAAACACACTACCATTTGTGGGGCTTTCATTGTGCAAGGCTATGAAACCAAAACCGATTTTTTTGCTGTTGATGTAGTAGATTCTGATATGTTTCTAAGACTTAGAAATAAATCTCAATAACTGACAGATTTATCCGTTCAAAATAGCAACCTTTGCTCCTGGCTCAACCACACAACCTGATTGCATGATACGAAGAGCATGCAAGCATAGCTTTTAACTAAGGTGAGTCATCTCACATCAATCAACAAGTATTAATTTGCTAAGTTATTTAAATGTGTTTGCCCAAGTTAGTGCCCTTGCCCACCATAGAGTCAAGCTCATCTTTGTAGTCTGAAAAACTGCCTGTATTCCACACTAATATCAACAAAGATGCCATTCATGCTGATATTGACGCAGGATTAAATGGGTGTTCATTTGAGGACACCCATCAGTTGGTTGCGCCAGTACCCCAAGTGATATGTGGCCCGTTGATTGCCCAAGTCCGATCAAACATTTCCCAATCTGGACTGTCTCATCATTTTCCTTTGGCCAGGGCAATATCCTCCGTTCAGCTACATACTGCCTTATCTGAAGACTATCTAAGCGGTGTTGATGTGTTGTAGTACCAAAGCAGAAATCATGGCCGCCCTTCTTGTTGCAACTGCTCTTGCATTATTATGTTGTTGTCCAAATTAGTATATAGCCATCCACTAATATTTTTTCTTAGATTTTACTTCAAGAAACTCCTTGCAATACAACAAGTTTGGGGCACACAATTAGGGTAAGTCTTCATTGTATCTATGCACTATTCTATTGACCGTTTATCTACTTCATAGTCTACATGCAACATTGCCGTTAGTACAACACAGGTGAGTATTAGATATATCAGGGACACCATTATTTGCTAACTGATCTATTCAGGAGACTCGCGCCAACAATGCCAGTGCAGTGCTGGTGACCACGAAGAACACCACTATCACATCCACACGGGTTCAGATGTGCACAACATTAAATTTAATGAAATTGAGGATGGTTGATTTCAGGACATTCAGTAGATTTCTGGGGAATAGGTTTAGGATAATATCTAGATAATTAGATTTACAAGTAAATAGGTGTTACAATTGATGTACCAGTACCCACTTACACTTCTCTTTTCGTACTTTTACTTTTACTTTTTCCAAGTCACATGACCATTTACTTTACTTTTCATTTTCGGACCTTTCCTTTAAATTTCATTCTCCGCTTTAACCTTGTACTGTAGTTTTCACACTGTGCCATGTGGCACTTCCCCTTTTAGTTCAAACTCCACCTTTCTCGCATGGCGCTGCCTTTATTCTTATTTTAGCTACAAGTATCTCACACAGTGGAGCTGGTCACACGGGCTAGGCCCCATGACATAAGCAGCCACTGCCTCTAGCAACTGTACAGTACATATGTACAAACAAACCTGTATTAGTATATAAACCCCAATAGATCTTGGGGAAGGACCCAGTGAGTCCTCCTGTTGTCTAGCACAACAAACCCATTGAAACCTTAGGGTGATCCCTTCTTCTCTTCTCTGTTATGCTTGTCTGAGTTGTGCGCCAGAGTAAGAAACTCTTGGTTGTTACAATAGGTGTCTCTTGTTGTAGCTTTAAAGGTGAGAATATGCAATTGACAATGTAAATGATCTAACAAAATTTTTACTATGTAGGACCTTGGACGAACAATACTACAATACTAATAGGAATAATTTGTTGATATCCTGTTCTAGTCTGTTTGTAAGTGTTTACTCAACCCAGTCCTGCCACACATTCATGCCCTAGCATATGTACCTCAAGTTCTCGAGAAAACACACCTCCATTTTCCGCATCAGATAGCTTCTTCCTCCTTGGAGGGTTCTTAGTCCAGCATTGATCTCTCTCTCATCATTTGTATGCTGTTCAACACCACATATCCCATGTCCAATGCTACTCGCTCTAGAATTGGGCCCCATGAAGATCATTGTTGGTGAATCTCACAGGCCCACACTTCTTGTGCATCCATTTATGCGACAATAGAGGAGGAGATGTCAGTCTTAGGGAGACAATATTGTAGCAGGTGTTCTAGAGCCTACTAAGAGCAAGGTGCACTCTCCAATCATCTCTATAGTCGAGAGATACATCAAGTTAACCTCCGGGGAGCATCTTTTACTATGAAATTTATGCTACTTTTTATTTGCAGGCAATAGTAGCTCAATGCACTAGATATGCAACAAGAAGCCACTCTGTCCTTCTTGCCTTACCTTTCCTAACAGTTCCACATGCTGGTCTGGACATGTCTTGACTCAGATCTTATCAAATCAGCCATGTCCTACATTGAACACTACTTCGCTATGAACCAACAAATCATGACACTCATCATCTTTATGCTACCACACTTCTGTATGCCGGTCAATTGCATTCTGCCATATATCTCATCAATAACCCTCCAGATGAGCGGTGTAGTGGGAAGCAGTACATCTCTTTCTTGATACATGCAAGGGATCTTTCACTAATTTTCATGATATTAAAAGTGACACTGAGATCACACTAGAACACATCCATAAAAATTCTGGCACCTGGGGTAATCAAACTTTGGGTGCATATGCGGATCTTATGCACCAATCACCATTTATATTGGCTTTTAACCAGTTGCAATACATTAATATCTTTCCTGTAAGTTGCCTTTAACTCTTATATAAAATAAATACATCTGCTAACCTTCACGTGCACAGTATAGCCTCAATATTTTCATACACAAGGTTTTAGCATGCTGTCACTAAACCAAACTATATAAAGGTGTAAAAGTATTGCACCCCACGTATATTTCCTCCATTTGAAACTTCACTCACACCTGACAAACCATGCCCACAAGGCCGCCCCGTAGTGACATTCAAGCAAACAGAACTGGAAAAAAGAAGAAAAACTTGCTAGCAAGGTTTGCTAATGTTGTTGCAGAACCAACTGTGATGTCCAGTAATTCCAGGCCCCATGTATCATTGCCCACCAGATGAGGAATCATATAGTGCATCACAGTCTGATTCATCCAGCGACACTTCTGGTTCTACAGAAGAGTCATTGCCAGTGCAAGACAGTAACATACTTTTGATTCCTGTACTAGCAGAGAACGCAAATCTCGAGGACTATAAAGAGGTAAGTGATCAAATATTTAAGTCAAACCCTGTCTAATAAGCTAATAGACATTGCAAGAAACACAACTTAGTCTAGCTACTGCACGACAACAGATTAGGACCCTGTTGATTTAAAATGAGACTCTCAGAGCCAACCAGGTCAAATGTAGTAGTGGGAGAGATGTCCCAACAGAGATTGTAGTGTGCAAGCCACAGATTACCCGCCTTGGAAAACAATATGCAGTGATGGAAAAACTGTGGGCATCCGACAAAATTTTCAAGACTCGTCAACCCAAGAATATCAATCCTAAAAGTGATTCACGCTTTAATTCAGAACTTACTAAAAGTGTTGCTCTTGTTGAAGAGCTATACCAGCTTGTTCCTATTGAGCTCCACAAGTTCATCAGAAAGCATTTGCATTTTGGTGCTAGCATAAGTTTTCACTTGTATATCTGCTGGTAGTGACTTATATTTCTACTCCTGTTTTCTAGTTCTCAAGCGGCATGTCAATGATGAGGTCTACCATTCTCAACAAGCTCCGTAACCACATCAGTTTAATCTTCCCCGAGATCCCTGCATCGCATTTCTGACATCTTTCAGACAGAACAGCAGTACCCGAACTGATATTGTTGCTCAAGTTCAATCCCAAAGACAAAGCCTATCCTCTGTTTGCTCCTGTTCTGTTCCTTTTGTTAAAACAGGATATGAAGAAAGTTTTCAAGACCCCAGTGCTTGCAAGGGTAAGTGTTTACTGATGGTTACTCATTTTCTCATAGTGATAACTTTATTTAGGTACTTAAAATCATTCTACTGGGCCCAAGCTCACTTGAGGGCAATACCCAAGGCCAGCCAAAATCAAATGCTCAGTTGTGGGGTGTGACACATATTACACCTGGTTCAATAGCCTGTGAGGCAATGTTAGACTATAACAAAAACAATACCCATCTTTGTCTGCACTTGCAGAGAGTAAAAGGCACGATGAGTTTGAGGTCAACAAGTGCTAGAGATTATAGCAGATAAAGGACTTGATAGTAAACTCAAGGGTTTCTGATGAGGAGTGAAGCGGGTTATTCAAGTAATAGAAAGCTAAAGAACTATACATGAGTATGTAGGGTTTCTATAGCTAACTGTCTATCTCTCAGACCGAAAGAGGAATAATAGAAAAGTGGTCTGAGGAGAAAATCGACCAATAAGAAAAAGAAGAACTATTGTACGAGTTTAAGGATTAATCAGCAGGTGAGAGAATATACTAATAATAAGTATTGTCACGCGTTGTCATGCACCAAAGTTGATTGGTAGCATGGACAGGTGTCAATAACGAAGCAAATATTCAAAAAGACTCGCCTTTGCGCCACACAGGCACAGTGCCACGTGGAATAGTAATTAATATTGCCCTTTTTGAACTTGTGGCTGATCAGCACCACCTCTATTAGGCAATCCAGTCACGCTCACCTTTGCTTTTCCATCCGGTACTTTCCGCGTTTCGGCATTTCGGCAAATTTTCGCGTCGCCACTGGCTACACATTGCATTGCGCCCTCGCTTTTGTCGTTTCCTTCACTTCCCTTCCTTTGCCTAGCCCCACCATGGGTCCCTTACTCTCGTTTTTATTCTCACCCGACGGTCGTTTCTGGATCCCCATTTTAGTTCACTTCCCCGTCACCTCCACCCTCCTCCTCCTCATCTTCTTTGCTCCCCCACCATTTCTGATGTCACCACTTCCTATCCGCTTCCGTCGCCGATCTGTTGACTACCACGTGCCACTGCTGATATCAGCAAAGCCCCGGCGGCCGGTCCAAATAGGGCAACAGGTCCATCTTCATGACGTCGATCTGCCATCATATACTATCAAAACATCGGTCGCTCGTCTTGCCTGGTTGGAGCGTGGGTGGGTAGTTTTTGAGCTGGAGAAGGTTCATCCCCTTGCGTCGCCCATGTTCATTGCTGTCCCATTCACTTGGGTACACTTATCATTTGTCCATCGTCTTCGCTACAGCTACACCTACCACACGCTGCCTGGGACTCACTTGTTCCAAATTGGAACTACTCCTCTCCCTCCCTCGTTTGATCAGGTGGTCCAACACAACCAGTCCATTGGTAAGGCCATGGAACTGTCAGATTTGGACTAGGTGGTGGACCGGTGGCTCCAGTTTCTTTTTCTTCAGCAGAACATTCATTTACAGTGCGATTATTTTTGATTTTTGAATCATTTTTATGGACACATATTTTTTTAGAATGCCTGACTGACAATAAAGGAACTGTGTTGATACTGATAGTGTTTTGCCTTGCCTTTTTTTATACTGCATCTTCCCATGACATCATGATTTTCCTGCTCTCCTTTTGCTATTGGACTTTACTTTATGGCTGTACAAACCTGTGACATTACTCACAGCATTTATTGTTCTATCCCTTTCTTTTCCTTTTTTTGACAATCTTATCCTGTACTACCTACGCAGGATTCGTCAGCGTACATTCCTTCCTTCATATTCTTTCTCATTCTTTTTGCACAGCTATACTGTGCATAGCCTACTTCTCTTTTACTATATAAACCCCTGTATTTTACCTTGTAAAAACAACAACAAGAACTCGATTCCAGACTTCTTCTCTAATCTTAAGTCCACTTCTTACTGCTACTTGTGATCCAGTGTGGTCACAACACTTCCCACTTCTACCACTGTTAACTGCTGTCATCGTCACTCGTCACTTTTGAAAGTGATTGTCATCCCCTTCGATTAGAGTCCTTCTGAGCACTACAGTTTGTGCGTCAGGAGCCTGCTATCACTGGGAACCTCGTCACCTCGTCATCCTCGTTGTTCTCAAACCTACCTTGTGCTACGATTAGCAAGGTAGTGCTCGTCTATACTCGCCACAAACCCCCTATCTTTCTATAAATTCAACTATCCCTCCTCCTCAAAACCCACACTCATACACCTCTGGGTTTTACTTTGAAGGATCTTTATACGTACCACCCCACGAACAACCAGACCACTCCACTGTTCTAGGAGGCAAAGCCCATAAACAAGTTCCGTGGAATCTGGGAGGATTGTGTGTTAGTTTGTTTTGTGTGTGGTTTTCTAACTACAGTTCTCATCATCGACAGCGTGTTCAGGAACCGTATCCTCATGATGAGGTATGATCCTGACTAAAGCATCTATTAATATATCCAGGCACTGATGCAGCGTGGAGCTGGTTGGCAAAATCCCTGCTACCAGTCCTTACCCATTGTGCTGGCTGGCTGGGAGTACTACCCAGTCTCTGATCTGCAATATGAAATGGTATTGATGATTGAGAAAACCTGTTAAGGCTTTGAGAAGTAAAATGGCAAAGGACACCTCTAGCCCTAAAGCTAAAAGTGTAATAGGGAAAGTGTGTGAAAACCAAGGCATGGAATGAAAAGGTAAAAAAAAAGTGAATGGTCCTTACATAGCCATGGCCGCTGTTCTAGTAAGTATTGCACATTGAATTCTTACACAGCTGCTAATTATGTATCAATGGTATATCACTCACAGGTTCAGTTCATTGCTTCGCCTGATCCCTTGCTACAACCTACAGGAGAAATCAGTCAAATTCCCTATGCAACCTACTTTTGAGACTACAAAAAACTCCTTATCACCAAAGTGAATACCCGGCCCATCTGTGCCCTATATGCCTATCTCAACACATTTGTTTTCACCTCCAACACACAGACAGCCACAAAAGTGGCTGACCAAGCCTACAAAAATTTCCAGGATGACTTGGAAAAAGCAATGGCAGTGATGGGATCAGAGGGAGACTCAGAGCAAGATACTGATGATCTTGAGCTTGCAGATGGAATGTGAAGTCCATCTGTCCAGGCTCAGTCTGAAATATTAGCTATACCAGGGACTTCCTTGACCGGCAACACTTTCACTGCTACTGCTAATCCTGGGGAGACTTTGGACCAGCATCCAGTGAGCCCAGTAATTGTGAGTGTTGATAATAAAGGCTCTGAGGTTGATTTGAATGTATCTGTGTTCCCATTGTTTCACATATATCTATAGTAGTATCCTGTTTTATGGTCACCAAATTACCTTTTTCATTATAATAAGGCCTACACTGCGAAATTTTGCTAAGTCCCGACGAACTTATATTTAGGGCTTATAATATATCAACAAAGAGCTATAAGGGCTCAATAATACATTATATAGAACAGGTATTCCTAGTACTTAGTTGAATCTATGGTGCAGTTGTTAACATACCATGTAATATAGTGTAATAGTAGTGTACAAATGTAATAGTCAGTAGTCCGAATCCCCCCTTCAGTGATAATAAATAATGTAATATCCACAAACGAGATTAGTAAGATCAGATGTGTAACACCACCCATAGTATAATACTGATAAGATAAGATAAACTGTAGTAATAGAACTTGTAATCAAAAGGATATAGTGTGATAAGAATAGTAATAGAATGAGGAATTATTAAGCAATGATCCATTGTAATATGATTGTGACATTCTAAATATCCATTATCATGTGACAGATTTCCATAACAAGGCAACAAAAAGTAGCGCTCTGGAGCAAGCCTTGTGGTTCATTATAATGCCCTTATAACAGTCATTACATATTAGGAAAGGTCCATCATGATGGCTTTATAATGGCGAACACTTTCATTGTAAGACTCACTCTTTGATTATTAATAATTATAAAGGTACAATATTATTATAAGGAATTATAATCAGATCCGGAATTTTCCGACATGGACACCGTGGGAAATTGTAGTTAAACATGATCTCAAGCCCTCCTCACACTGACATTTGAGCGTATACGCTCGACGTCCACTAGTCCCAAGGCTTACTTTATCAAAAGTTGGTTGATACAGCACCTTTCACTTACTGGCCGCGGATGTCAATTCAAGTTTGGCTGCGTTTCAGAAAGTGCGTTTAAGCACCCACCACCAAGAGTTTACACTTTATGCTCTGCGGCCGCAACATGACTTGCTGAGTTGTGATATTAAATTCTAATATTCCATCCAGAGTAATTGAAATGGGTAGTAGATCCATTCCCATAATGGAACGGCCGTCTGTCAAAGTAGGTCTATCATCGTGTCTATCTGCGATTTACCACGGACCAGTGCAATAGTGTGAAATTTCTGCCGCAATATTAACCTTGCAGAAAGCCTAGTAGTCATCAGCAGAATATCCACCATGTCCATCCTAGATCTCAATACTGCCGTCGTCGCTGTCGTGCTTCTTGGTCTGACTGTCTGGCTCAGACGCCGAAATACTTCACCTAACGCTGTTATAAGACCTCCATATGCTTTCTCTTTAATACCATGGGTAGGAAATGCTCTTGACTACAAGAACAGGCCAGCAACATGGACACGCGAGGTTGAGAGTAAACTTGGACCTGTATATCAATCCACTGTCCTGGGTAAACCAGTCATATTCTGTCTATCCGTGAGTTCCTTAAATTTATTAATTAGTTCAAAGCTGTCGATTAATTACCTCTGTGGTGTAGCGCACATTAATATCTCAGATATTCAAGAACTATCGCGATTTCTCATTTACTCCCATCAAAACTGATGCTCACCACCGTGTTTTCGGTGTTACTTTGGATGCTCTGTCTGACGAAGAAGGTCAAAAGACCATGTTTGCAGAGCTTTACCGGTATGTATCGTTTCTCCGAGTAACTTCATGTCATTGATATACTCCCAGTGTCTTGTCAAAGAAGGCTTTCGGACCCATGGTTGGTCAAATTTCGGCCAATATGGAAGCTCGGTTTTCTGCTATTATAGGGAACATGACTCCAAATGAGCGAAGGGACGGCAAACTCTTTAATTTAATGAGCCTCATTCCCCCTCTATTGTGGGTTTCTTCTTAAAGCATTTGACTCGAGCGGCTCACTTTGAAATATTCTAGCTATGCAGCAAGTGCTCAAGGCATGTTTGGCGACACCTTCCCAGCTGATGACATATTCAAGTCCAACACCGACTTCGAGGATCAATTTGGAGTATGTTCTTTCTTCTCTACCGTCCGAGAGTGATACTGAGTCTTTGTGTAGCTGATGTATACTGGGCTTCCTTTCCCTTGGCTGGTCAAGAGAGGGATTACTGGGCGAGACTACTGCATTGCTCGCGTGAAGGCTTCCTTGGCTCAATATGAAAGTGGAGAAGTTCAAGCACCTTACTTTATACAAGTGATGCTTGACTTGAGACATACTCTCGGCTGGACATCACAAGACCTTGCTGCTTATCTGTCTGTACTATCCCCCTCATTACAAGAAAACCTTCTCACTCATGTCATAGGCATTCTTACTTGTTCGCACTTACTTCAAACACGATATATGCCGCGTATTGGCTTGTGGTATACACATACACGCACCCAGAGGTTGTAGCTGAGATTCAGGCAGAAGTGGACCGAGCCGAAGCGGCCTTTTTGAAGGAAAACCCCAAAGAAACACCTACCGATCTTTTCGCCAATCTAGGATTCCTCGACGACAACTTCCCTCTACTGAACTCCATTATCAATGAATCGTTGCGTCTTTGCAGTAATGGCACATCTGTTCGAGAAGTTATGGCGGATATTGTGATGGATGTTCCATCCAATTCACATGGTCCATCTGAATCACGCGCGATGCTCTTTAAGAAAGGCGATACCATTTATATGCCTAATCGTTATCATCATTGGAATCCTGAAGAATTCGAAGATGCTGAATCATTCGTGGCAACGCGATTCATGCCAGGCCAGAAACGTCAACCTGGTTTCTTCATGCCATTTGGTGGAGGCATCTCCGTCGTATGTCCAGTCTTCTTCTTAACGTATATGTTATCCTGACATGTTTGTTTGACCTGCTACAGTGTAGCGGACGTCATCTTGCCTCTGCGGAACTCAAGGCCCTTATGATCATCCTCACGCGGTGGTATAATGTCAAGTACGAGTGTCTTGTGGATCGAAATGGCGAGAAAGTGAAGGATGCAAAACCGTTGGCAATCCCTCCATTTGACCTGGGATCAGGTTCCGCCATCCTCCATCCTGAAGGAGACGTAGTCGTGCGCCTAAGGGCTCGTTCCAAATAGATTGTTATTGTTATATATTAACTCATGTATTTTGGGCTTATTCAAATTATTGCGATCCATTGTATGGTGTCGCGCACATTCTCGCAAGTCCCGACTTTCACCGCAGTGTATTCCGTTGTAGCATTACTTTACATATCACACTCTTTAGCCTCTATTTGATCAGCCAGTACTCTTGAGGATGATGTGGAGATACGGTATCGTGAGATTAGATAGGCTACCAGGAAAGCACAAGTGCGCGCTCGTGCTCGTGCCGGTATCTCAAGCTTACAGTTGTTCTCCGAGCGACAGTAGATCTCTAAGGGGTGCTGAACGAATAAAGCGGACCCTGAAATGAGATTGAGTCATGTGGGCAATCTGGATATAATATATAATATTAACTATGCGCCCTATGCGTCAGCCTCAGTCTCCAGATTCCCGAGTCCATCTGAATAATTTGAATTCATTTGGATGATTCATGTGTGCTTCATCGAAATACAGTAGTGTCCACCTTGGAAGCCACTTCGTAGATCTATTGTACTGGGATCAGCTCAGATTCAGCTGTAAGCTCGGTGTCGAGAGACCAGCACTTGGCACCAGGCGCAAGTCTATTAATAAGTATATTTCGACTTCGACTCGGACTTCGATAAAGACCTCCATAAATGGAAGTGTCGAGCATCCTCTCAGCTCGACCGTTTATCGCTGACCCTTGAAGCTTGAAGTTCAAAGAAGTAATGTACCATACTTGCAGCAAAACGAATCTATTGAGCCCAAATGCTATCCAAGACAGTCATAATATATTAAATTACTTGTGATGATCAGAAGTACAGAGTAATATCTACACCAGCAATACCCTTTTGCAACACAGAATGCAACCCTATGGACAATGATTTATGCTCGGCGCTCGTAGCCCATCCTCACAGGCTTTAGAGGCATAAACCTCTGCCAATCGTTCCTGTCAGGCTCAGGGTCCGAGCGAAGCAGTTCTCCTGACTTATCCATGGAAGAGAAATTGTATGAGGCAATGCAAAGAGCCTACGAGGGAGGGTAGATGTGATTAATGTTGGGTTCCTTAGATCTTTATGACGCTGAATGTATACGTACAATTATAGTCTTGATCTCCAGTTTCGCCATTCGCATGCCTGTGCATGGGAATCGCGCAACTCCCCAGCCCAAGAAAGGATAAGTCGTCTTCTTCTCAGAGTCGTTGTCCACCCATCTGTTCGGGTTCCACGTCTCGGGGTCAGGATAGATTTCAGGGTTGAGATGTATATCGTGGATGAAGTATGCCAAGAAATCGCCTTGAGCGATCTGTAGTAGATATCAATTAAGTCAAAAGGCTGCCAACAAAAGAGTGTAGTGTATTATGCGAACCTTCACACCGTCGGCCATGACAGGATCGTTGATGTTACGACGCAGAGCGATGATAGCAAAGACCAAACGAATAGTTTCCTTGATAACGAGTTCCAAAACAGGCATTTCACTCTCCCAAGTGTCCAAGGGAACGTGAGTGAGCTGTTCGACCAGTGAGCCAGTCATACCAGTGTTGTGGGCGGCTTTCTGGAGCTCTTCCATTACTGCCTTGTTCTGATCAGCATGGGTAGAAAGCTTGTTGTACAGATAATCACATCAGTATTGCAAAAGGAGGACTATCAAGCTGGTAGCTCACATAAACCAAAGCCCAGGCAGCTATGGCGGCAGTGTTAACAGAGCCAGCGAAGAGAATCTTGAATGTATACTGTAAAAATTAAGTGAGTTAAGAGGACCGAGTTTGATAGCAAAGACTAATCCTACCTGAATGATGTCAGCGTCACGGTCACCAAGGTCAATCTGATACTGCATAGGATCATTCTCCCGTCTGCCTGTTTTCTTCCTCTCGTTAATGACGTTGGTGATGATATCAGCCAGTTCCTCGGTAGCTTTAGCAGCAGCTCTCTTCTGCCTCGTGCGTAACCATGGGACAAGGTTAGTGCTGATAATATTTATATTTAGCCAATAAACGAGACCAACACAATAACAAAAGCTCACAAAGAGTTGGCGGAGTCTTCGATGGTCCAGTAAAGTCCACGAACGTGATCCCGGAGTTTATCGTTATCCGCGAATTCGGTGCATACAAGGAGACGACAAGTCAGTTTGAATACGAACTATATTTCTAGGTCATTAAAAGTGTATGTGATACCAAAGACAAAAACGAACCTCATAAACCCTTTGATAAGGGTCCATCTCGCCCGTCTTGCCCCATTTGCTGAGTTCACCAGTTATCTCGCTAACTATGGTTGGAAGGACTGGTCAAACCAGAAGCATCAGAATCACAATAATTACGTCAAATCGGGGACCATACCATCTGTAAGGTACTCGCGACGGATGAAATAGAGAAGACGTTCTTTGAGTTTACTATTGTCAAGCTCGATTTTCTCTCCCAGCTTAGAGGTCGTGGGGAACTGAAGTGACAGTCAAAACTGAGTATATCATAATGATATGAATAATTGATCCTTACCCCGCCCCGCAGGAAAAGGTATCCTTGATATAGACTGAGGTTCTTATCACCAAAGAAAAGCTGATGTATGCAGACGATGAGTTATAACGTCAGGATGATACTAGGTGCAATAAGTACCTTGCGCCCGGTTTCGCCATGCAATACATTCACTGTGTGTCCCACAGTGTGGAAATCGTATATACCACCGCGCTGTGGGTCTTTGTTCTGCTTGCGAAGCTTTTGCTGAGCTATTTTGAGGGTGGTGTCCATAAAGTCATGACGAGCCGTAAAGAAGGCCAAATGTCCAAAGAAAGGTGTATGGCGAAGAACATGTTTAGTTGAACCAGAGATCCAAAAGTGGGAGAGAGCGATGAGCACAATAGACGCTACAATTGTCCCAGAGCCGAACACAAATGCAGAAGACTGTTGCGGTATCTGGTCAAGTATATGGGAGACGTTCGAACTGATATAGGACGACATCGTTGTCGTTGCTGTAGAAGAGAAGGTAGACTGGGGTGTCAATTTTCCAGCGAGTCCATCGATATATATGTGTATGTGTATCCATCGGTGCGATGTCAATGTCGCGTATCCCGTGCGGAGCCTAGTCTAGATGTCCTTTGATCCTCTGCGGTGGCATACTAATGTGTGATCCGTGATGCGTCACACCACAATTTGGGCTCAGCGGCAATCACCCCCAACAGGTTTATCCAAACTTCATTCGAAATGGGTGTCACCGCACAATAATGCTCGATTAGCCTCGATAGTTCCTGACACTTTCTTGTTCTAGCTCAAAGCTCAGATCCCTGTAATTGGTATACTAAATGGTTAGCGTATCTAGGAAAGGCTCATTGGTAATGCCTTATGGCCTCTGAGATCTGGCGATTGACAGTTCTCCCAAGTGAGGCGCAAAATGCAGTATAGTCAGCGGCCGTATACCACCAGTGCATATCCAAGAAGTCGGGGGTTATCGCTGATATCTCTCAGAGAGCCTATTGGAGCCATTCGCGGGCGGTTACCTTACCCGCGGCTGAACCGCCCTGGCAGTTGTGAGCTCATCTATCTCTACAGGTCTCCGCTAACCATATGAGTTTTACATCACTATTGATGCGTGGCTTTAGGTTGCGGACTGGTAGGCACAGCATCCTATACCCATTGACAATCCATGTATGGCTCTTCTGCATATGAAGATTACTCACACTGTGACACCGTGCAGACTATTAATCGTCAACATTGCGTCTTGATTCTTTCAAAATTTTCTTCTCTTCTCCTGTCTTCTATTCTTTCTTCTCTACCATCTTTTACCTGATTTTTTCTTATGAGCCTAAGTGCATACCGTACATCCGCGTCCATGGCCGTAGCACAGTTAGCTGATCGTCGCAGTTACAACGGAATCCTCAGTGGTCTTGTCAGCTACTTCTCCGACGCCGCATCAACGATGGAAGAAACGTCATACGACTTCTCCAAGCCTCTTGTCCCCGTGAATGTCTCCTTCGACTATATAGATGGCAAGACAGAGATCACGTTGAATGACGAGGCTAGTATCTCTCTCGTCGTCGTTCGTGTCGTTGTCATTTACACATCTCCAACAGGAAAAACTTCTCGAGCCATTCACATATTACCGACATGTTCTCTCAGGAAAAGGCCTTAGAAAGGCTCTTCTAAATGCTTTCAACCACCACTTGGGACTTCCACAAGTCTGGATCGACGGTATTGTATCCATTATTGAAGACTTGCACAACTCCTCGCTTTTGTATGTACACTGATATTTTTCACGTTACGTTACTAATTTAACTTCTGATAGGATTGACGATATCGAGGATGGATCGCCTCTTCGTCGAGGTTCTCCCACAGCCCACATCAAATATGGGGTTGCTCCTGCTATAAATTCAGGGAACTACGTGTACTTCTTGACGATGGCCAAGGCGGCTGCTCTTGCCTCAGAACACGGTGCTGATAGCTCCGAGATGACCCGTGTTTTCATCGACGAAATGCTAGAGCTACACCGTGGTCAAGGAATGGAGATTTGGTGGAGACAGAACAGAGTTTGTCCCACCGTTGAGCAATATCTGCTCATGGCCGAGCGGAGTAAGTTCTTCCCATGCGCTTACTCATTCCTTAGCAAAGTGCTCATTCTTCCTCCTTTCGCAGAGACTGCTGGTCTTCTCAGACTCGGTGTTCGGCTTATGCAGTGTCACCCAAAATCTCCTGCGAAAGTCGACCTATCATCGCTTGCAGTACAGATCGGCGTTTACTATCAAATCCGTGACGATTACATCAACTTAGCTTCAACGAACTACACAAGCCAAAAGGGCTTCGCTGAGGACATTAGTGAGGGGAAGTACGGCTTCCCAATGATACATTCATTGATGGCCGCCCCAAATTCTGGTCTTGCTCGTACGAACACATTTCTCATAACAATGATCTATCCCTAACGTTGTGTATTTCCAGAAATTCTTGACCAGAAGCCCGAGGCTATCCCTATGAAGCGGAAGGCCATTGACATCATTCGCCGGACCGGTTCTTTCGAGGCAACAGTCGAGTGCCTGGTGCAACTTCGACAGCGGTTACAAGATACCCTAGTGGCGGCTGGTCGCAATCCAGGGCTTGAGCGCTTTCTTGCAGAGTTGTCTATAGAACATATCGAGTAGTTAGCTAGGCATTGCATTTAGGCTTAAGTTATGATCGGGTATCCATTTATTTATATTGGATGTATCTTGAAGGGGGCACTCTGTAGGCAGGCATGATAGTGATCTTTGCGCGAAGGGAATTGTTTTTTTTAACTTGATGTAAGATTTCATGTGGCCCTAGAGACAAACAGACAGAACGTGTATATGTATGTAAGAGTAGAATGCCAAAATGATTCACAGATTCATTGATCCATCACTGGGTGGTAACGTGAACGAAGCCGGAAATAACAACTCGAGGTTACCTTGATATCATATTATCGTTATCCCTCGACTATACCCGAGATGATTTGAGGCGAGCAGTCGCAAGGTAACATTTTATTTGCTACGTGTTATATTCAAGTTTTCACAGCTAATACCTACAAATGAATTCTACACTAACTCAAATACATTTTGTTATCGAGTAATAGCAACTGAATATTCCTTCGCAAATGTTTATTATAGAGAATATTGAGTGGGGGGTGTATGAATCTTGGACCAATTACAGATTGTATAAATATCAAAATACTTTAAAGAGGTGATTTCTGATCGCTGTGCACGATAAGCCAGCGGGGGCCAACAGCCGACTCATGGCGGTGGGTCTTGCCTTCCATAAAACTTCAAGCATTTTCTGCTTCCTCCATCTTGACCCACATTCCTCCCTATTAGGCAATAAACATCAGCCTTACGAGTCTACAGTGCCAAGCATAAGAAACCAGCGATACTTACCACAGAGTACAAAGTTAGAGTGGCTTTGGGCCGGAACTTCTCTATGCCCTTTCGACCGCCAGCTGTAGCCCATTCGGCGGGAGGGCGACATTCAGGAGATTGAGCATCAAGATCAAGTGTGATCGATGAGAAATTTTGCAGCAGACGAATGAGCATGAAAGACATCTCGTTGTACGCGAACTGTGAGTGGGTATCGCATAGTCAGTGTACGACAACAAAAAAAAGGTTGCACAAAAACTGACTTGCTGGCCAAGACAAATACGTGGTCCTGCATTGAATGGCAAGAAGATAAACGGGTTGGGTATCAAATACTTCCTCAGCCGGTCGTCGAGGAACCGATCAGGGTCAAATTCATCAGCTATCACAAGGGTTCAATTTCTGGCCGACAAAATGTAGGTATCGTCACTCACCGTCTGGACCCCATAAATCAGGCCTGCGATGCATGAGCAGGACGGAATAAGCAACGCTAAATGTTTTTTATAAGACTACCAGATGCACAAAGGGAAAAATATCCACGAACGTAGTCTTGGCGGGAATGAATAGTGGCTTTTCCCCAGGGTTCGGTGAAGACAACGTAGTATCATTGATACTTTCGCTATATGCATTAAACAAGAATTCAGTAAGGCAAAAACAAGCAATAAACAACAAGATCACTGACCGCACATTGGCGGGACTGAAAGGTTGACGTGTGATGTGAGACATATCTTTTTATTGTTTGAATATTACTTACACTGCAGGAAAAAGTCTCAATGTTTCTGAAGATAATAAAGGTAAGCTTCAGCTAAATAATTGCATGTGACGCTTTACCATTCAGGACTGCGCGAATATACTTCATATCCCTAATATCGTCATAGGTGGGCCTTCGGCTGGGTCCAATCTTCGCTAGTACCTCCTCCCGAAGACGGGTAAGAACATGCGGGTGCATTGCAAGCAAATAGATGGCAGAAGTCAAGGTCGAAGCAGTCTAAACGAAGAACGATTGATATTGACATCAGGAGACTGTGGCGTGACATACCGTGTCTCGACCAGCAAGAAGGATGTTGAGCACTTCATCTCTCAGTAAAATGATGTCTATAACGGGGGTATTTAAAATTCTCAACATCCACGTCGACAAAAATGTCTTCCTTACCTGTGGTCTGGTGCACAAGATGTCCCAGAAGTGTTTCTTCGTCCTGAAACACGTCTTTGTCGGCATCAGAAGACGATTGGTGCTTTTGAATAGCTTCCTTCAAGATCGGCTCCAAAAATTCATTAACAATCTGCATGGGCCCTGCCGTTCTGTCTCCAAATAATTCCAGCAGAGGCCATGTCTGGCCGACTGTCAAGCGCTTGGCGATGCCATGTTGGGCCTCTAAAAATGCGCGCGCGAACCGCTCCGAGGAACTGTTGTCGGGAAGTTCTGCTTTGTCAACATTATAAGGACACGGTAGTGCAGCGAAAAGTGTGTCGACGCAGTGTCCGAACAAAAATTCAGTGGCCGAATCCAAAGTAAATCGCGAAATTACATCCTTATTCCGCGGTGAACAGTATTATTACAAGAGAGCTAACGATGAAATAAACAAACACACACCTGGAAATCAATAGCGTGGCCGAGATTGAATCGCTCTTTCATCAAGGAAATTGTTTTGTCCGTATGCCGGTCAAATATATCAAAATGGCTAATCTTATCGTGATTGAAGAACGGACGAGTCACGGCACGGTGAAACCTGAAGCAAATGTCGTTAGCCAGTGCCCATTGCCTACGGGGCAGAGTCCTTACTTCCATGTTTCTCCTGAGAATCATTAATTAGAAGTTATGGCTGTCATATATGGTGATTTACTCACCATCAGAGTTGAATACGCCAGTGCCTAAGACGGATTGAGCTGTTGCACGGAAGTTGTCCCCTATTTATGATCACCGTTAACATGATGGGAAACCAATGAAGAACGTTCGCACCTTTCCAGTAGTTGTTGAACTCAGTAGCAAGGATCGACTACATTCAGATCGTCAAAGCGATGCATGGATGTTTATGAATACTACTCGCCTTGATATGATTTGGCTCCGTTGTCATGATGATATCCTCCCATAGTAAGTTCAGGTTGATGGTTGGTCCGTATGTGACCATATAGTCATACATGACCTGGCCTGAGCGGGGAAATGGCATGGTGAAGTCACAGCTTGATACGACCTAGATACGAACATACCATTATAATCATGCTCACTTCTTTTCATAATCGTTGTTAACACGTCTATGTTCCCAATCCGTTTCCCTTCAACACACGGGACTGCTCGTGCGCCCAGTATCATAGCTCTTCTACGACGGGAGCGCTGAGTCCAAGCCACGCGAACGGCGAACGCGATCGGAGTACCACCAACGAAGAAAGCCAATATCGCCCATAACGGGAGAGAGGGGTCGTAGAATGAAAAGATACGTGAGACAGCAATGAAGAGACCAACAGCAGGAACGACGAAGGAGAAAAACCAGCGGATGAGCAATACCACACCTGGTGTCTTCCACGACATGTCAGTACCGGATTGAATTAGTTGTTCAAGTTGCTGCTACAGCGCTACTGGGATGCAAGAGCCACCTACAGCGATATGATATGGTAGGAGTTTCCGACATAAACCTAGATGTCATAACATTTTATATCATTTCTGAGTTCAGGTTACTACGATTGATGGGGTGCAGATTTCGTCTGATTCGTCCCGTACATAGTAAGCATAACCGTGCCGCCTAGCGCTGCCTCGAAAGGACAGTGACGGTTGTCCGAGTCTCTCCGCAGACAAGGGAGAAAGACATTATCCGAAACACAGAGTCAGCGTCAGAATTTGATTTTCTCACGATTAAGTCTGCATGACATTTGCTTATACACCAGCCGTTCGAGTGCGTCACTGGTAGACGGTATTGATCCGTATTTCAGGAGGTCATCCGTATGTTTTCCAGACTTTTCTCGCTCGAAATGTTGGATTTTGTCTTTTTGCATAAAACAAGATATTACATTGATGCCTGTTGGCTCCCCTGATACTAATAACTCAATTAATTCCATCTATCCTTGTACTCGTTCGACAAATAGCGGCATCTCCACGGAAAGCTCCTCCCCTTTCATCACCGCCGGGACCATCACTAGCTGCATGCGTTTCAAGACATCGCATTGAGGGGGATGGAAGACAAAGTTCCGGATAAGCTCAAACAACATCACCTGCGACTCGAGAATCCTATCAAAATAGGACTTAGTTTGTTATCCCACGTCGTTGGAGATATAGCAACACTCACAAGAAACGCCATCTGGAACGTAGAAAACGAGCACAATAGTTAGTTAGATTGTTCATGGTAGTATAGACAATAGGAGTACTTGCCCTAAACATGCCCTAAGTTGATGTAGTCAGACGTGAAGTTCAACTGATCACAGATTACACAAAACTCACTTGGGTCCAGCGATAAAATTGAACAAGCCTGCATAGACACTAGGCGCAAGCTTGCCTTGGGTAGGAGTATACCAACGTTCAGGGACGAATTCATCGGCATTTGGCCCGAAAATAGCTTTGGAGAAATTATAGGAAATGATATCAGCATAAATGACCGTGCCCTTGGGACAAGGAATCTCCGACACTGTGGAGCCATCCTTCAGTACGAGAGGTCGTGATAGATTCAGGACTGTATCTGATGTTGCCATCTTCTCGTTGAAATGCACTACGGGATAGAATCGCATGACTTCCTGTAGAGTTTGACAGGGACAAAAAAAGATAAGACAACGTTATCTCAGCCTGATTCGACGTATCCAGGAAGAAAGTGACAAACCTTGATGAAAGCGTCAAATAGAGGCATAGATTTCGATGAGAAGATATTCGAGTCTTGTTCAGCATCATATTGCTGGGCGTTGGCTAGAATTTCTTCTCGAACACGATCTTGAAGCTCAGGCTGCATTGCGAGTTGATACAAGGCCCATGATATACTGTGTGACCACTGAATTAGACTGTCCATGGTATGTCTGAGATAACGCACTCACAAGGCTGCGGATGTTCCTTGAGGATGCAAACATGTAAGTTACACTAGATTACAGGAAGGATAATACGAGTTCCTACCATGACCCGCGAAGAATCTATAGGTAGTTAAGCAAAAATATATTAACATGACAACATAGTCACATACATAGAGGTAATCTGCGCTGTCATCTCACTCTCAGTCAAGCGCCACTTGGTATCTTCATTCAAGTTTGCTTTAACTGCAGTCAAGACCCAAGTAAAAACATCAGCACGCAAGACACGCAAGGCTAAGCCAACGTACGCATAAGAGTAAGCGCGTCATTTGAGAGCGTATCGCCATTCTTGATTGCCTCCACTCGATCTTGCACCAGGGCCCGCGCGGCTTCGTTCGCGCTATCTAGGGATTTTGTTACGGCTTGCATCAACTTGTTGGGGATTAAGGTGAGAATGTCAATCAGCCAAGAGGGACTGTATCGAATGAAAATGGATACAGCAGACTCTTCTGCTCCCATCGTGTCGCTTCAAGTATGCGCTTTAGTGATATCCACGAAACAACAAGAGAACTGTCAACTTACAGAAGAGTTTTATAAACATCAGCTAAATTCGATACGCTTTCAGCTCCTTGCATTCGGCCGACAGCACCAAGTGTCATTCCGAACGCTGCGAGGCCGATCATATCCAAAGCAGATGCTCCTAGCCAGCTACGAAGAATCAGAAACGAGTAATTTAAATGATGATGAGAACACCTACTCGAAAACATCTATAGCTGCTTTCGCGTCCTTCTTTCCGGATTCTGCCTGTGCATCAGCGAGATTTCCCCATGCGTCCACAAGCTGTAAGTATGGACCAGTTTTAATTTGCTAAATACGATAGTGCTATGACCTTACTGCCAAAGCCCCATGTCGGAAGTGGGGAAGCAAGTTTCTCACGGGCCCTGCATTGAACGCGGGCTACGAAATGTTTTAGAAAAATAGAAAAAACACGATATGAACTCAAGTAAGCACCGACCTGCATAATTCGCTTTATACGATGATGTGCTTCACCTACGCAATATGATCAATCTTTCCCCATCATAGTGCATCCAATAAACCACGTACCTTCAGATAAGATAATTCCACCTTTTCCAACCAGTTTTTCGCCAATTGCTGTCATTGAAGGTGGCCGAGCAAATGAATTATTCGTATCATAAACTTTCCACAGTGCAGTCGGGTCAGATATGAACAAGCCGTCACCCTAATTAACAGATTAACAAAACAAATATGGATGTTATTCTCCAAAACTTACACTAAAGAAAGGGCCTTTGATGCGGAGCACTGTGTTTTCGTGGAATTGCTGGCGCCATATCAATGGTAACGAACCAGCACCAGAGGTAGATAGTTCCAATAAGTTTCCTGTCAGGAAGGTTTTGATGAGTACCAACTATACTTTACGAATGATAGACGCACCAGCTAAGATGGAAGAGGATGGGGGGCCAGGAATCAAATCAAAGAATGAAGGTCTTCGGAGTCTCCTGTACGCCAAATGACCTAAAAATGCTGCTCTAAACATACAATGTTAGCATGACGAACTGATATTCTAAGAAGATTCTTACACCAGTCCCGTTAAGATGTAAAATGACGACATTGACCACGTCTGTGCGTGAGAAAGATAGGTTTTGGTAGAAGTAAGAGTGCAAAGCAAATCAGGGCTTTAAGTAAAAGGCGATCTGTTGAAGTATTTGACCCTCTACTAAGCTGTGTCTGGAATTCGGTAATATGCAGTTGATATTTGTGGTAAAGTCGATCATAACGCCCGCGTCGGTATAAGACTTTTACACTGCTATGATAAAAATTATCTGAAGGCACCAAAAGTGGGTCCATCATGCACTTGCACAGCGGCCGTAAGACATGTAATAGACACCGCGGACAGCATGTAGTCCGTCCTAGAAAGGGGTGTTCTCGGACGTTTGGAGATAATGGCTCTGAATCAGTGGACAGCACATGATAATTGTTCCCTAAATGATAGAGCTACAAGGGCGAACTGCAGCAGAACGAGGTGACCAGGTTTAAATTCATGTTCATTCGTCTGACTTGCGCTTTGTTGTTGTTTACTTTCATCTCCGCGCCATTCAATTAGTATTACAGCATTTCTTCAAATCGTCGACTTCTTGATGTCCATTTTGCTTGTTCACACCCAAACATCTCCTCCTCTTAATAGTCAACTTAGAGTGGACATCTATGTTTTATTCAATTGCTAGCAAAATAACAGCGAAGTACACAGTGAAATTATGAAGGTGCAAGCGTGATTGTGCGTGAGAAAATGTGAGCAGTCTGCGGCCGCACTTGTTTTTCGAGTCTCGAGTCTCATTTTGATCTTAGCTTAGCATACATTCCGAGTCGGTACTGCCATACAGGTGATAATGATTGAAGATGATATGGTCCAGCATGACTACGCTCAAACATATAATAGTCTTCAGCGCCCTCTTCGCATTTTACAATTCACCAACCTTTCTACGATATGTCTATTACTTCTCTAGTCAACACCTCCTTCGACTGGCATGACCACGCCAACGCCTTGCTAAAAAGTCTTACCACGAGATATAGCGACCAATATGGGTTGGGTACTATGAGCGGAAGCATCTATGATACCGCATGGGTCTCTCTCGTTTCCAAAACAGTCGACGGGTCCACCCAATGGGTGTTCCCTCATTCTTTCCAGCACATTTACAACGCTCAGTCCGCCGATGGGAGCTGGCAGGGAGATGGTTCTATTCCAGATGCTATTATCAACACCATGGCGTGTCTTCTGTCGCTCAAGAGTCACGAATCATCTTGGAACGGCGGCGTCAACGACATCGCTCCCCGTGCCGCCAAAGCTGCCTCCTACCTTGTTGACGCTCTCCAGGGCTGGGACATCCTCTCAACAGAGCGCATTGCGTTTGAGATGATTGTGCCCAGTCTGATGGAGCAGCTCGAGAAATACGGGCTCACGTTTGACTTCCCTCAGAAGGAGATTCTTCTCAAACTCAGTAAGAAAAAGTTAGCCATGGTCAACTTCGAGATTGTCTACAAGCACCACACCACCGTCCTGCACTCGCTTGAAGCGTTTGCAGGAAAGATTGACTTCGATCGTTTGACGCACCACCTTAGAAACGGCAGCTTGATGGCCTCCCCATCCTCGACTGCAGCATATCTTATGTACGCCTCCAAATGGGACGAGAGCGCAGAGCGGTATCTCAACCACGTTATCGACCAATGCCAGTCTTACGGGTACGGTGCTGTCTGCAACGTGTGGCCCACGACAGTATTTGAATTTTCTTGGGTATGTTCCTGTTCCTGTTCTGATTTCTGATCCCTAATCTAACTATTATTTCTATATAGTCTATTTGTAACCTTTTCGAAAGCGGATTTGATGCCTCGAGGTTGGACAAGGAGTGCTTAGATCGTATTGCGAATATTCTTTACGACTCTTTGGCAGCAGAAAAGGGCATCATTGGTTTCGGTAAGTTATTTATTTCGTTCTATATCCACCATCTCGTTCTCACATCTATATATCATTTGCTTCAGCTGCTAATGTCGGACCTGACTCCGATGACACCGCAAAGGCACTAACAGCGCTCCAGTTCCTGCAAAAGCCGTTTTCCATGGATCCATTGATTAAAGCCTTCGAGTTACCCACCCATTTCCAATGCTTCCAATTCGAGCGTAATCCAAGTCTCAGCGCTAACTGCAACATTCTGATTGCACTTCTGCGGGCTTCTAACCCAGCTGGATATGAAAATCAGATATTGAAGGCGGCAACGTTTATCACCAGCGAATGGTGGACGACAGAAGGAACTGTGGAAGACAAATGGGTATGTCTGCCTATGCGATCAGCCGTGCTATGTCGTTGTTAATTGAATTTCTGGTTCTAGCATCTCTCACGTTGGTATCCTGCGATGTTGACGTCACAGGGCTTGGTCCATCTCCTCTACCTCCACGGACAGGGCCTGTTCCCCCAGATTTCTGACGACCTCTTGAAGGTCAAAATACCTACTACCTTGTTCACGATTATCGTTCGGATCCTGCAGTCCCAACGTCCTGATGGTTCTTGGGGTGAAGGAGGAAGCCGTGAAGAGACTGCATATGCTGTCCTCGCGCTTGCAAATCTCTCATCTCTTCCATACAGCGAGCTTATCCGAGAACAAATCGCTACATCAGTCTCTCTTGCTCGTTCCTACTTAACCACGAGCAATGCCGTCGACAACCTCCACATTGCTCCTGCTGACTACATCTGGGTTGGCAAAATTGGATACGGCGTCGAGCACGTCTGCAACTCATACATTGTCTCAGCACTGAATATTGCTGTACCTCTGTACGAACCCAGCACCGTCTCAGTTGGAGCTCCGCCCATCCCAGTTAGTAAGGTGGAGTCGTTTACCAAGTTCTATGGACGTCTCCAGATGTACAAGGGTTTCCCGAAGTGGCGTTTGGTGGCATGGATCGTCGAGGGCTATCTATACCTCCCAGAGTTGGCTCGTGTGCGTCTAGATGTATTTGATCGGGATGGTATGAAGAAAGACCCATACTTCGAGTACCTGCCTTTCTCGTGGACGGGCCCGAATGGGATGGAAGAGACATACACAAGTCCGCAAACTATATTTGATATGATCGTCATTTCGATGGTCAACTTCCAAGTTGACGAGTTCTTCGATCTCGTCGTACAGAAGCACGGTCCAGGAGCGATCCAGAGTTTAAAACATGCTATCGGGGTCATTTGCGACGACCTTGAGAAAGGCATCGTCCCCAAAGCACTTCCAAAAGCGGGTACCAACGGTCACTCAAATGGTCACTCAAATGGTCACTCGAACGGGACCAACGGTACAGAGAGCGAGCAGAAGGACTCCTCGTACCAAGACATTCACAGCCGACTCTCACACTTTGTCAACTTCGTTTTCACGTATCCCAGAATCGAGTATGCGAGCCCCAACGACCATGGCCAGCTCCGCCGTGAGATGAGGATTTATCTCCTTGCGCACACGCAACAATGCGAAGACAACGTACGCTTGCAGGCCCAAGAGCACTTCGACCCCTACCTAACACCTCCTTCATCATATCTTAAATGGGTGCGAGGCACAGCCTCTGACCATCTAAGCTCGCAGTACGCTTTTGCATTTATCGCTTGTCTGCTTGGTCACAGCCAAAATAAGGCGAAAGGTGGTGTTCGTGAGGATTACTTCCCAACCGCCGAGATCAAGTACATCGCGCAGGATTGCAGCGGTCACCTCTCCGTCATTTGTCGAATCTTCAATGATTGGGGGTCGATGCGTCGTGACAGAGAGGAGAAGAACCTTAACGCGACCTTCTTCCCCGAGTTTGAAGGTCGTGCGAAGAACAAGAGCGATGAACAGCTCAAATCGGAGTTGCGCGCGATATCAGATTACGAGCGCAAGACTTTGCAATTGTCGTTTGACGAGTTGCTCCGTGTGTGTCAAAAGACAGTGGGCCCTGCTCAAGGGAAGAGACTACACGAGGTTGTGAGACTATTCTATAATGCCAGCGAGATGTATACGGAGATATACGAGTTTAGGGATCTCAGTACATGGCAAGCATAGTATGATTCATATGACGCATTTTTTTACGCACGCATGTAGACACTGTATAGTAATTTATGATATTTCTAGAAAATAGAACACAGATTTTCATCATCCATAATGTGGCACGTCAGAAAGAAAATGGCATTGGTAAGTACATTTTCGTAATATGGTGGGACTTGCTGCAAACATGTAACATGGTCAACGGTTCGCTTTGTAGACCACCACACCCTGCGGAATCGCATATAATTGTAAAAGCCTTGTAAAACACCTACATATGCTCAAACTTCGGAAACGCCAATTGCTGTTGCACAGACCTTGCTTGCACACAGGGGTAATAGCAATTGTAGTTTCTAATAGTATACACAAGTGTTTTGTAATTCTGCTTCAGTCCTGTTGTGGCATTGATTGTTACTGCCGCGGTTTGTTTGCGTGCTTTTGCGCGGGGTGCCAACTTCAAATTGCAAATGAGATTCCTGAGAGAAGGTATCTGGTCCTAGAATGCACCTTGTGTAATACCTGTGCAGAATTTTCAGTTTGCCCTGTACTTAAGAGAGTCCTACAGCTAAATTCATAACGGTAGAGTGTAAAAGCACACAAACACACACGAGTTTGACTTCCACTGAGTTAAACTGAGTTGAAATATTAGACTAAATCTTAAAACAAAGGCTCACACTACGAGCAATTGCCAAAATAACAAGTTACGACAATCTAACTATCACAACACACAATGGGATCTGCACCCGTGTACAGTGATTCTGGACCTTCTGGGCATGCAACCAATCAGTATGCTTTCCAAGTATGCCTTGGTAGCTTAGTTGGTAAAGCACCAGACCATGAAAGTAATAAAACTATGTGAAACTCAGCCGCTGCCCAAGAGGCTATAGAAATGACTATATTATTTACCTAAGTGAAACTACAATAGATGTTAGTTTAAGGTGATCTCTAATAAATGTAATGTAACATACCTCAGCCGCTGCCTAAGAGGCTATAGAAACGACTGAGATATTCCTATACTAAACCCCCTACTACTTATAGTCGGAGGTGCTACTTGCTACAGTATAATGACTCCTAAGAGAACAATGGTGACTCCATGGAGTGGTGGCTATGCTCCATGGAGAACAATGGCTGCTTTGGCAGAGACCGGGTTTATCCGGTTTTGTCAGAAAGCTGGAGTCCCAGGTTCAAGCCCTCGCCAATGCATGTTTTCTCATACTATAAACAAATGTCATAATTTGTCACTAACACCGGAGATGCAAATGGAACACTTTCACTGGTGTGCTCCAAGCTTGAACAAAGAATCAAAATTCAAAGTAGGCTTACTGTGAGTAAGCTGTTGACAAAACCGGATAAACCTGGTCTCTGCCAAAGCAGCCATTGTTCTCCATGGAGCATAGCCACCACTCCATGGAGTCACCATTGTTCTCCTAGGAGCACAATTGTACTCCTAGGAGTCATTATACTATGGCGAGTAGCATCTCCGGCTATAAGTAGTAGGGGGTTTAGTATAGAAATACCTCAGTCGTTTCTATAGCCTCTTGGGCAGCGGCTGAGTTTCACATAGTTTTATTAGGTTATGAGCCCTGGTGCGCAAAAGCCACGCAGGAAATAATTCTTATTTGAAACGGCAACCCCGGAACCATGACCACAGCATATGATACATCCGCATGTCCAGTTCTCACTGGACCCAACAATTTTCAGATATGGAAACTCTGGATCATCTCAAAGCTACGTTGGGAAAAAGTTCTCCGGGTTGTTACTGGAGAGGAGCTTAAGCCCTCACCAGGAAAACCTACCTCCTTGGAGAATCCTGAGATCACCTGGATACTTAAGGATGAGAAGGCACATGGAATCATCCAGGACCACATCTCTGATACCCTCCTAATGAGGACTGGAGACCTCACCAGCTCCAAGGAGTTATTTGATAAACTTGTCTCACTCCATCAGACGTCCAACATTGCCTCGGCCTTCTATTCATTCCAGCAACTCACCAAATTGTCCTAAGATGGGATATCACCTATCCAGGACCACATTGCGAAAAACCGGACAATTGATTCACACCTCTCCGGAATGAAACTAGGAGTTGATACCAAACTTATGGCCTTTGCTCTTCTCCAATTTCTCCCATGCACTCCTGAATGGCAAATATTTCAGTTATTGGTAATCAACACGATTGAAGAAAATAAACTTACCTTTGATGCAGTTGAGATCCGGATCACTGCAGAAGTTGCACGACAGTCAGGGAAGGCCCCTGGAGGTTCCAAATCAGCACTCAAATCTGAGGAGAAGTGGTGTGACTTCCACAAAGCCAAATCACACAACACCTCGGAGTGTTGAACACTTCAGTCAGCTGGAAAAGGTCAAAGGAAGAAGGGAAAGGAAAGACACAAGGATAAAGGAAAAGAAAATGAAAAGGCAAATACGGCGGAGCAATTATCTGGATCTGACTCTGAGGAGGAACAGAGTCATATTGTATTGGAACATGTACATATTTCCAAGCCTCTTGCTAAACACATTCAAGCTTACCTTGTGTCAGAACCCGATAAGACCAAAACAATAATCATCATTGACTCCGGATCAACATCCTACATGGTCCCTCACCGCTCCTGGTTTGAGCCAGGAACATACCATATTCTGCATCCTCCAAGGACAATCAGTTTTGGGGATGAATCCTCTGTAAATGCCATTGGCATTGGAACAGTAATCCTACAAGCAACTGTTGGCAAAAAGGACTACAATATTGCACTGTCGAATGTCTTACTTGTGCCAAACCTCACTTTAGCACTCGTTTCTGTCCACAAATTGTCCAAAATGGGGTTATCAACGCTTTTTCCAGCAGGGTCAAATGCTTGTGAAGTTCGGAAAAAGAAGGAACTTATCCTCACTGTCTTACACAAGCGAGGACTTTATCACATCCAAACAAAACCCGAAATCAACCCGGAGTCAGCTTTTGCAGCAAAGATGTAAATTTATTGCACAGGAGAATGGGACACATTGGAATGGACCGCTTGCAACAAATGGTTACAAAAGGACAGCTCCAGGACATAGACACCCTTACTGGAACCCCGGAGTTTTGTGAACCTTGCGCTTTAGGAAAGATGAAGAAATTACCTTTCAAGTCCACTGGAGGAAACCAAGCCAAGTGCCCCATAAAAATTGTGCACACGGATGTTGGAGGACCAATCAAACCAACTTCCAGGGAGGGTTTTCGTTATTGGATTATCATTGTAGATGATTTCTCCAAATTTCCATGGATATATTTCCTAAAACATAAAAGTGAGGCACTGGAACAATACAAGCAATGGAAAGAAGATGTCCAAACATTCTTCCGGACTCATTTGGGAGAAGAAAACTTCACTCCACTGTACACAGAATTCCTCCAGAGCGATGGGGGAGGAGAATATACTGGCAATGTTACGATAACACAATTTTTGGACCTTCCCTTTACTTTTATTCTCCGCTTTAACCTTGTACGTTTAGCTTTCACACATGGTGCCACGCGGCACTTCCCCTTTCGTCCAAACTCCTCTTTCTCGCGCCACATTGCCTTTTTTTTATTATAGACACAACTCTCTCACACAGTGGAGCTGGCCATGCGGGCTAGGCCCCATGACATCATCAATAACTGTCGCTATTAACTGTATAGTACACACGTACAAATAACCCTGTAGTAGTATATATACCCAAATAGATCCAGGAGACTCCTCAGCGAGTCCTCCTGTTGTATACCAACTAACTCTCTGCATCCTAAGGGGTAACCACTCCCTCTTCATTCTCTTTATAGTGTGTTCCTGTGTGCGCCAGAGTAACTAACTCTTGGTTGTTACAGGCAATGCATTCAAAAATCAACTCCAAGGAGATGGTGTCATCCAAGAAACTACAGCTGCAGATACTCCGGAACAAAATGGCATTGCAGAACACATGAATCAGACATTGGCTATATTAGCAACCACTATGCTCCATGATTCCAAGCTCCCAAAGTCATTTTGGGTAGATGCCATGCAAACAGCTGCATATATCACAGCACGCAGCCCAGCATCAGGACTCCATAGAAAGACCCCATATGAAATACTGTTTAAAAGGAGAGTTGATCCAACTTTATTCCGCCCTTTTGCATGCCAAGCATATGCCTTGATTCAGAAAGACAAAAGGCAAGGGAAGTTTTACTCCAAGGGGCGCAAAGCCATAATGATTGGCTACACACATGGAAAGCAAGCCTACAAACTCCTAGACACTGAAAAACAAACTGTGTTTTCCTGTCGGCATGTCATATTCATATTCAATGAATCCGGAAAGGTACAAAAGGACAACACTGCTCCCTGGAACACAGACACTAGCACAGATCAGTGGGAGGGACTCATTCCAGAGAATGCTCACTATCCAGACCAAAAAACATTGGAGGAGGATAATCCTGACCCTCGGATCCGAGATCCAAATGAATTGCAAATGGAACCACATCTCCAAGGAGATGTTCCACAAGCAATGGTATCATATCAGCATGGGAGGACAGCCCCTCAACATACAGCCAGCTGATGTGGAAAAAGTCTGAATACAGCTAGACAGCCTGTCCATTGGATCAGCTTCTGGAAGGCATATAACACCTCTGAGGAGTCATCCAACGCCTCCGAGGAGTGATTCAACACCTTTAGGAGTGAGTGGGGCAATACACACACAAATGTGTCTACTCCCTGGAGTACCTGCACAAGTTCCTAAAAGAGCAGTCATGCCTGCTGAAGTCCTAGGAGTACACGGAAGCAGTCGCCAGACCCGTCCTGCAGACAAAAACTGAGATTATCAAAGGACTCTAGATAAGGAACAGTCTTGAAAAGAGCAGCATGACAACCCCATGGAGAAACCTAACGCTCCTGAGGTTCATGAAGAAACATCTGATACAGAGGAGACATTCTTTGCTGGAATAACAAGTACCAGTCCATCTAACACAGACCTTCCAAGGACACTAAAGGAAGCCTTATCACGTCCGGATGGAGAATTATGGAAGTCTGCCTTGGAGGAGGAACTCCTAAGTCTCAATACTAATGCAGTATATGACACTGTTCCACTTCCGAAGGGAGTGAAACCCATCACATCAAAACCTGTGTTCCGGTTTAAGTTTGA